ATCTACTCAGTTTCCTATGAGCTGGATGGGCTTACTGAATGACTTCATTCTAGGAACCAGCATGAATATGGGACCATGTCAGGATGGAAGTCCCGGAACAAACCATCTTCTTGTCTGGCCAAGTCTCTGAATAGAGAATATCCTTAAAACAGACTGATAACCAGTGATTACCCTATATATCTACCAAACTCATTATGATTAGGTCCATACCCAGAGAATTTAGTTGGGAATAAAAGGTTTCTAAGGTAAAGAAAATTTGACAATCTAAATATCCTATGAAGTGGTAATGATGAAATTATGATATATCTACGCCATTGACTTTTAGGTAGACAAAATATATTGAAAAGTACTTAAAGTAACAAAGGTTATAAAGAAATGTTATCAGTTATTAATGCTGGATGGAATGATTATGGGAAATTTCAAATCCCTCCTACCTTTCCCAAGAGAAATAAGCTTGCTTAATATCATTCCTAATCATTTATGTACATATCTAAACATAAAAACATATTTTAGGTAAAAATAAAATGGGAAGTGTTATTTTTGTGGAGTTTTTTCTTTTTAAAAAGTGAATCATACAATGTATTTGGTTTTCACCTAGGACAAATAGTTTTTTGGTACTGTGATCTAACAGTGATCTCACCCAACTATGATCACTCCTTGATTAAAGTATTTTCTTCTACCGGCCCTTCATATAGTTAAAAAAGACACCACTAGCATCTAATAGTTCTCCTGATTCCTGACACTTCCTTTTAAATTTAAAAGGTTTATGGGGTTGCTCCTCTTCTGGGTCCTCAAAGGTCCTTAGCCTTAGAGGCTTTAGTTAATGTGCTCGAGGTCACAAAACTATAGATAGGAAATTAGATACACAAATGACTAAAAATTCCATACTTTCCACATATGTCCATTCTAGCACCTACTACATTTAGTGTGCTTCTGCTTCAGTATCTGCTCCATGATTCCACTAGGAATCTAGATGAACTGTAAATCTTTGAAGGCAAAAGAGTTCTTACCATTATTCAGTTCTTCAAAAACAGTGATCTTTTTAATGTTAAATCTTATTTCCAAAAGAAACATTTTAGCTATGTTCTTCCTCATCCCAAAAAATTCAGTAAAAATTTTTTAAAAAGTAAAATTTATAAAAAGAAATAGGAAGAAAGAATGTATGTTCTTCCTATTCTTATCAGCCCATTAGCCCACAATGAAAAAAATCAGTCTAAGGAATGGTAACAAAAATACATCTAATTCAAGTCATATTAGTATTCAGAAGATTTAATGTATTTCAACCTTAAAAGATCTCACTTTGTTAAATGAGCTTGAATCTCATAAGGTAAGGCCTGGCTTGCTTCTACTTTACATTATAAGACTAAGAGGGTACAATTGAAATTGAGTTTTGGATTCAGGTATCAGACCAGGAGTTTGGATGATGTCAAATTCCTAGAATATATACACACATAAGTACATGATTTCTTTTGTAACTCTAAGAGTCCATGGTCTTATCACTAATGTGTATATATATTACAAGTGCAAGTACTGTCTTATATATTTAAAAAGCATTACTATTTCACAGGTTTCATTGAAAAGATCCACAAATAAATCCATATTCTTCTCATCCAATACAAAAGAATATGTTCTCTGATGTATGTTCTTCTGATATGTTAGGTTTTTTCTAAAGTTTCTGCTCTGCAATGGTCCTGCTTACTCAGATTGTGAGCCTCCTTCTGTTCATCAGCATATAACAAAATAAATGTTCAGAATAAACTGTACCTTACTCAACCCACATCCAATATTGAGAAATTAATATAATAGTCTCCTCAATTTTAATAATCTGACCAAAATTTAAATAAAAAAGACTTGCCCTTCAGCCCTGACTGGTGTGCTCAGTTGGTTGGGCCTTGTTCCACAAACCAAAAGATCACCCGTTAGGTTCGATTCTGGTCAGGGCACTTGCCTGGGTTGCAGGTTCGGCCTGTAGGCACACAAAAGGAGAGGGAACTGATGGACAGTTCTCTCACACATTGATGTTCCTCTTTCTCTCTTTCTCCCTCCCTTCCCCTCTCTCTAAGTAAATTAAAATATTTTTTTAAAAAAGGCTTGCCCTTCAGAAGCTTATTTACCTTTTCACATGTTTCCCCCTCCCCAAAGAAATACAGATCTTTTCACAAACAGGTTTAAATATGTAAAATGTTTTATACCTGTTATTTCAAACTTCATAAGTGCTTTCATTATGAAAATAATTTAGACTGTACTACCACTAAACCTATCTAAAATTTCCATTTTATACCAATAAAGATTTGAAAAATATTTCCCAACCTAGAGTCCCTTAATCTTTCCAGAAGAGAAGAAAATCAACACTTACCAAGCATTTATATGCAGACCCCCAAAAACAAAATAGATACCCTAGAGGTATGCTTAACACTTTTAAAAAGTTGAATACAAATTACACATATGCAAAAGTATATTTCCACATGCTATTACTTAATGCAGACTGGTAAACAAATTTTTCAAGGCATTATTTCACCAAAATATGCCTTTAATCAGATGTGATTGTGGTGCTTCTTCACACATTCAAAAGACATAATATGATGGATATGTACTTAAACAGACCATGTAAAAAGTCCTACTGAAATCCACTGAAAGGAGGAATTAGTTCTGCCTGGAAGGGCTTCAGAGATAACATCTAAGCAGGTTCTGGAAGGATAACACAGCTAGCTACCTGGGGTTACAGATGCTTCATGTCTGTTTCCGGCTACAAAAATTCACAGCATTTAACTTTACGTTGGATAAGTCTTCAAAAATCATCTAGTATTAAAGTTTTCTATCTTTATTTTAAAGCAACAAAATCTTTTATTTAAGCCTAATTGAAACTTCAATATATAAAACAGACAGAAATGGCCCTACTCTTTTTAAAGGAGAGGAAGTTATTGGAAAACTCTGCTATTCTAATCAATGCTGCTCTTCTTCTTCTTTTTTTTTTTTTAAAGATTTTATTTATTTATTTTAGACAGAGTGGAAGGGGGGAGAGAGAGAGGAAGAGAAACATCAGTGTGTGGTTGCTTCTCATGCACCCCCTACTGGGGACCTGACCTGGTCCACAACACAGGCATGTGCCCTGACCAGAAATCAAACTGGCAACCCTTTGGTTCTCAGGCCGGTGCTCAATCCACTGAGCCACAGAGGCCAGGGCAATCCCCTTCATTTTAAAATAAGAAAACTGAGACACTAAGGACACTGACTTGACAAAAGACCACTTAAAGATAGAAATGCAACAACTTATTGAAAGAGTACTTAAACATTATCTCCCCTTTGAAGACTTACCTAACTTTCTCCCTACGTGAGTTTACCACTACTTTATTCCCCAAACTACCTAGCATATACTTCTATTATGGCTTCCATAGAACTTTAGTGCCCTAGTTTTACTTTTTATTTATCTGTGTCCCTCTCCTATACTGAACGCTCCCTAAAGGCAGTGGCTGTCTTAATTATCTTTGTATGCCCAGTACCCAAACTAAAATTTTATTAAGTTATATTTGATCAAGTTTCATACAAGATTTAAGATAGCTCAACACCTGTCACACAGTAGGACTCAATAAGTATTTGTCAAATGAATTTGCTGAAAATGAGGTCATTAAATGAAAGAATACATATAAAGCAGTTAGAACTGACACTGTGTACTCTATAAACACTAACTGTTATTACGTACTTTTATACAGTCAGATAAAAACTGAAGCTGTTTGAACATTTAATTTGGAAGGCAAAAACTAAGCACCTTCTATCAAGGTTTCGACTTGTTCATTTACATATTATTAATGCAACCTCATCTTTGATGAGAAAAAGAAAAAATTTAGCCCATCCTTAAAGAGTTACCCTGCAGCCTGGGGAAAAAGTAGTACAAGGAGTTGTGTATTATTAATCAGTAGACTTGGAGTGAAAACAGAAAATAGGCCAGTCTTAAACTTGAGGTTAAATCACTTTTTTGAGATCTCAGTTTCAGTCATCTGTCAAAATGGGGTGGTGTGGAATGGAAAAAAATATCTCTAAGGTTCTTTCCGGCTCTAAAAGTTACAAAGGCTGATAAAAATTGGGACCAAAAATCCTTCAGCTTTTGACTTAAGATGGTGAGTAAGAATTTGATAAAAGTCAGTAAATGGTGCACTAAATTTGGTGACAGGATTTTCATACCAACTCTGTTATTATTTAGCTGTGTAATTCTGAGCAAGAAGCAAACTCTCTGGATCTCAATTTCTTCAACCTGTAAAATGAACTTGTTGAACAATATGATCTCTCTTTAAAATACATCGTAGTCATGCCATTCTATGAAGTAAGCTACCTGTGCAGTAAAGATTCAGGTGGGGATGGAGCCACCAGAAAAGAGATGTTTAGAAGATTCCAGGATTAACCAAAAGTAGAGAATTTCAGAATTAGAAGAAACCTTACCAAGTCTATGACTCATACAACTGAGACCGATAGTCTTGGAAGAGGTCACTCCACCATGCCAGTCGTAAGGAACCCATGAAACAAGCCATTTCACCGTAGGCCAACTGCGATGCCCAAGTTCTTTGACTCAAGCCTCACAATCCTCTAGTAACTTCCACCTATTAGTTTTACCCCTATTTCAACTAAGGATACCTCAAATATTTGTGGGTAGTGATTATATATCCCTTAAATATCCTCTCCAAAATTAAAACCCCCAATTCTTCAACCTTTCCTCACAACATCAAGACTCTCTCACCACGGGCTCAGCCTTCCTTAACGTCAAAATTGCTCGAACGACCATTCCCATTCTGATATTCTGATTCCTTGTGGAACTCAAGATTTCCCACACGTCCAGCTGACACCACATGGCAGCGCCTAATTGCCCTAGCCACCTCCACCCAAGGAAGCATTCGGGATGGGAAGTGTGCCCCTGGAGCTCCTTCGGGAGATACAGAGACAAGTAACCGCGGCAGCAAGAGAGAAGCCCGCACCCGGCTCTCCTCCCCGTTCCGAGCCTTCTCCCTCACCGGTATTGCTTGGGGTCGCTAGGAGACTTGACGATCTCAGGGTCTCCGGCATTACTGATAGACCCCCTTCGTCCCTCCTCCTCAGATTCATCTACTCCTAGACGGGCAACCCGGGCGCTCTCTCCCAAATCCTGTCCACTGGGCTGCAGGTCAGGGCAGCTGCAGGTAGCCTTCGCCTTGTTCCTTCCAGGCATGGTCGGAGTAGGAAAGGATCTGACAGCAGCCGAGTCTTCGCACCGACTCCGCGCTTCGATTCTCCACAGCGCCGCGAACTCCCGCCCGGCCTCACACCACAACTTCCTCCCGGTGGCCCCAACTGCAGCAACCGTGACTCTCCTCAGCATTCACCACCAAGCCGGAGCGATGGGCATCCCGCTCCCCAGGGCCCACCTCCTCCTCCTACTCCTCCAGCTGCTCCTCCTCCTCCGCGTTCCAGAGGCGGTGGCGGCCGGCGCTGGTGCTGCCGCAGCCGCCGGGGAGGACAGGCCTGCACCCCTCCCCCAATCCGGTCTCCCTAATGCCAACTTTCCTCATCACCCCCCCGCCCTCCAATCACCGGTGACGCTACTAGTTCTACCCAATAAAGAGGCAAGATAGCAGTCACGCGCACGTAAACAACCAATGGAAACGGGGAATAAAAGGAACCAAAGAGACCGGTCGGATTTTCTGACACCCAGAGAGCTCTTCGAAACCTATGGTGGGCGGGACGAGGAAGAAGAGGCGGAGAGAGTGGCGCGGAGGACGACGGGAGAAGGGCGTCTCGTTAGTGGCGCAGCGTTTATGACGTATGCAGAGAGTTGGTTTAGGCGGCCCCTGGGTAGTGCTTCGCGGCTCAGAGAAAATATTCGCACGGCGAGAAACTGAGACGCGAGTGAAGAAAAGGAATCTCCAGATTTATTCCCCGATCCCGTCAAATTTTGCGCATCCTGCCCCTTCCATCGGGGCGGAGCCTTCGGCCGTAACTCAACACCTTAGAAAGCTGAAAGCCGGAAGTATTTCTCTTCGCTGCTGGATGGAAGCTGCTTGGGAGTGAATCCGAGCGGAGCCAAGCAGAACTCTTCAGCTAGGCCTTGCGGTTTTCCACCTTATCGCTGGCCACCTTTTGGTGGTATTCGCCCACAAGGCCCAAAAGGTGCTTAAGAGACCGGTTAGATATGCTCACTCATATGCGAAAAGATTTTTCAGCTTCCTCACTGTTAAGAGTACACACAGTTTAGTGTTAAGTTCAGCCAGCATTTATTGAGCAGGTGCCGCGGGAGGCTGCTGCCCTCAGGTCCTTTTTCCAAAGTTATTTTCTGCTCTGAAACAGGCATTTCTTAAAAAATTACAAACAACGGACATGCTAATAAGATACAATATACTGATACTATAAGGTAGGAGATCCTACCTAGCACAGAAAAGAAGTAAATATATGAATGGAGAAACACTTGAAGGAGAGCGATGTGTTGATGGCTGTTATAAGTCTTTAAATTTGTCTAGGCCTCCCGAGTTCCACACACACGGAATAAAATTATGAACAAAAATCCTTGCTTCATGGAACTTGCATTCTAATTTGGGAAAACAATAAAATTAATGATGTATTTCAAAAACAACGCTGTGACAACAAATAATGCAGGATAGGACAATAGAGTTGGTAAGGAGAAGTGCCACAGTTCTGGCAGGAAATGATGAAAACCTGAACTAAGGCAGTGGACGAGGTAAATTAGTCGAGAAATATTGTCCAGATGTGTCACTTTGTTTTCAGTCAGTAATGTTTGTTGAGTAAATACCTGAAGTGATGTCTATTTTTTAAAAAAAAACTTATCTTCACCTAAGGATATGCTTATTGATTTTAGAGAGAGGGGAAGGGAGGGAGAGAGAGAATCATGCTAGAGAGATGCACCACATCACTTGCCTCTCATAAGCACCCCCACTGGGGACTGCACCCACAACGCAGGCAATGTGCACAAACTAGAAATTGAACTCACCACTTTCGTTTTATTGGAAAGACACTCCAACCAACTGAGCCACACTGGCCAGGGTGAGTGACATCTATTTTGAGGGTATTTTTTCTTTTAACTCTCCAAAGCAGTGATGCCATGAGTAAGAAATACTCAAATTCAACCAGTAATTAGAACTTTCCTAACTAGAAAAAAAGAGAGACCACATCTTAAAGTGTGACCTGTTCATTTTTCCCTTGAAAAAGAGGCCTCTGAATCTTTTAAGTCACCAGACTAGAAATATGGTAACACTCTATAGTGAGGCATTATATTATTCATTCAGCCAACATACTGAGCTTCTAATATATGCCAGATGCTGGGAATAGAGTAATTAACAAGAAATTTCCCTGTTCTCTTTTTGCTTACAAGAGAACTAGTAAGACATAGTCTGGTCAGAGAGTTTTCATAAAAGACATTTAAACTTACGTTTGAAAACTGTATAGGAGTGTATAGGAATAGACTTGTTCAAAAGCTCTGAGAAAGCAGGTCAATATGGTTAAACTGGAAAGTGAGTGAGTGGCCAAGTTCATATAAAATCTTTCTAAGAGTAAAAAGAAGTCATTGCCTTGTCTATTTTGTGTAGCACTGGATTCCCACCTTCTAGAATACTGTCTAGTACATTATAGGTGCTCTGTAAATAATGGTTGAACAAATGAAATGGAAATACCATTACGTGTTTTGCAAGTAAATCACTCTAGTTGATTTGTGAAAAATACAGTCATACCTCGGTACTTGTCTGCTTCAGAACTTGTCAAACCCTGTACTTGGTGCATTTTGATGAAAAAAAGTTCCAGCACTCAGCGCTTGCTTGGGACTTGTTGCACTTGCTAGAACTTTTATGAGTCATGACGCTGCACTACAAAAGAAAATGTTTCACTGTTTGGTGTGGGTTTCCGCACTCAGCGTGAGTTCCTGAACAAATTAACAATGAGTACTAAGGTACCACTGTAGTTTGAATGGGGGATGAGGATGAAGGCAAGAAAAGGACCCAAGAACCAAGCATTGAGGAGCTTGTAGAAGAGGAAGAACTCGCAAAAGAGACTGAGAAGGAACTACTAGAAGAGTAAGAGGAAAACCAAAAAAAAAAAAAAAAAAAAGGTAATAGCACAAGAAAAATGCCTCCTTGATGTTAGGCCCATTATAATTCTAACCATGTACCAAATGTCCAAAGTGTTAGATTAGATGTTTAAAATATGAGAACTGGCAAGTGATCACAGAAGTATACTTTAATTTGGACTTTCTGGATTAAAAAAGAGAAAAAACCTACCCAGAGAGGTATATCTTACAACTGACCAGAGGCACAGCCAGGACTTCCAGAAGTAGAGTGTCACCATTGAAAATAACTCAGAAATTTGCCACCCTTCGTTTGAATATTCATAATTATTGTAAAGAATATTTATCAGAGAAAACATAAATTAAGCTATTACCATTTTATAGGAAATTGACACATTAGAGAGTTTTAAAAAACCTTCAGATTGCCTAGAAAGTTGAGAACGGAGTGTAATTATTAACCTCATTTACCCAGGCTCTCAGAGTATTTAAGCACTTTTTAAAAGCTTCAGTCATTCTATACTCCTTTCTAGTTTTTTAAAAATTTATTTGCTGAATTTAGAGAGAGAAACATCACTTTGTTGTTCAACTTATTTATGTACTCATTGGTTGCCTGTTTTATATGCCTTGAGCCTCTTGTATGTGCCCTGAACCAGGATTGGACCCGCATCCTTGGTGTATTAGAATGACGCTCTAACCAACTGAACTACCTAGCCAGGGCCTATTCCTTTCCATTTTAACCTCAAGGATTTCCCTCTCATCATCAGGTTTGGTGACCCTTTTCTCCCTATTATTCTGATGAGAGGTCAGAAATAATGAGAAGTTAAAACATCTTATTTCCATATTTGATGCCTACCTCTGAAAATTATTTAGTCAATGCAATGGCTGTCTACTTCCCAGAGGGAGAGATCTGAGGTGTACTCCAAAAAATTCTCAGGTAAATGATTTTATTATAACTCCATTATCTGCCTTTATATTTGAGAATCAGGGTAAGTCAAAAGTGCAGAATGTTGATTCTAGGTTGAGTTGATTGGGAGTGATATGAGCCCAATAAAGTCTCAAGTCCAATGAAATGGTTGGGTGAAGAGGCACTGAAAGAAGAGACAAGAGAAATATTATCTACTTTACAATTTTGTTCTAGATCCACATAGTAAGAAATTATGCCTTTGGAGCTCTAGTAATTGCTCTCCATATTTGGTAGGTTGGTATCTAGGTCAAGAAGTAGGCATGTTCTTATAGAGTCTTCTCTGGGAAGACCAAAGTGTGCACAACATGCCAAGGAGTTTGTATGACCATATAAAATAGTTTTTTCTGTACTATAAACATAGTTCTAGGAAGAATTTGGTATTAAAACTTCAAGATAAATTGGGAGTGACTGTAAAAACACTTACAAATATGTCAAACGAAAAGTTATTCTATCACAAATCTATGCTCTCATCTCTAATCTAAAGATACAGATTTTGAGACTGCCTGGAAAGGAGAATGTGAAGACACAAAATGATATTTTAAACATATGAATCAGAAATCAAATCATATTATTCCTCCTTTTAAAAACCTACCAGTAGCTTGTCTTTGCAGTTTGAATAAAATCTACCTGCTTGCTGTAGCCTATTAAGGCTCACTTATGACTTCTGTTCTTCCTTTATATTACACTTTCATATACCATTCTGCCCTTTGCTCTATTCACACTGGCTTTCTTAATGTCCTTCAATATACTATGGTAACTCTTGCCTTTGGGGCCATTACACTTGCCTCTGCCTAAACTGTACTTCCTTTAGAATTTGCATCATTGGCTCCTTCTTACAAGTTATATGTCAGCTCAAATGTCACCTCTTAAGAGAAACCTTCTCATACCATTCTACCTAAGTTAATACTCATTTTCTGAAATTATTTGTCTATTGGCTGATTGTCTAAATAGCCTCTCTATTTGATAAGATCCATTGGAGTATTGATACTCTGCTTGTCTTCTTCCACCCCCCCATTTCTGCAGCATCAAAAATAATGTCTCATACATAGTGAGTGTTCACTAAGTGTTGAATTATTGAAAGAATGGTACAGGAAAAGAGGTCACTAGAGAGGCAGAAGAGAGGGTTAGCCTTAAATTAGAAAGGAACACCTCTATCATTGACCTGGAGAAAAAGAGGCACAGATTAAACCAGGAGCTGTAAAGATTTTAAGTGTTGTTAGAAGAAAGGAAGGGATAAGAATTTAATACAGTTTCTGCCTGACAGCCCCCCATCTCCATTTTCTTTTTGAAATATTATACAAAGTCAGTGCTGGGGATGAGAAGATATGTAGTATGATAGGTCCTGCTTCCATGGGAATCAGTAAATAAGATATTTGGTTTTTGTTT